TTAGTAGCGTGAGCTGAAGAAACGGATGACTAGTTGTGTAATTTACATCAAATACTTTTGATGAAGCAAATGAGTTGGCCTTACAGAACACTTGTAGTACCTCCCAAGTTGCCGAAATGTCCTCCACATTTAAAAGGTTTTGATTACATCAAATTAGGTTTCACGGGAATTTTATTAGCTTGGGGCAATATTTGGACACATTTGTAGATAGGTCTAAACGTTGCTGTGGCTGAAGCAACTTTTATGCGCATTTTAACCCAACTAGTCTACTGTTCAACCTTGTTAAATAAAGAAATTGACAATGCGTGATGTGTAGGAAATTTGTAATGCCAGAGATTCTGTACTAAATGTCACATTTTTATGAAACGAAAGCATGTTTTAACAGTAGTAGCACCTCACCAATTTAGTTTTGTATTTAAAAACTTATTGGCAAAATTGTTGCAAACGGCGTGCGCATATCCGTTTTCATAATTGCATCTCGGCCATCCTGCACGACATTTGGCAATGGGTTGATTTGGACACTATGACAAGATCAGATGCTCAAAACAGTAATGTCAATAAAACATAACTTTCAGTGGTGCGAAATCTCATCAAGGATGTTTAATTTTCGGTTCAAGTTGATTTGTTCTACACTGTTTGAAAAGAAAATGAGCAAATCTTAGAACCGATTAATATTGTTAAAATAACATTTTAGATAACCAGATATGTCTAACTTCAGAAGAGCTTCATGACATTGTCGAAGATTAAATGGTGCGTTTCTGTACACGATTGATGCTCGATCGTACTTTGAGCGCACATGGGCATCAGGTAAATAGAGGACAATAATGTAAATAGATTTTTTTAAGAAACTTTTTTAATGCTGAGCCTAATTTACGAAAATCGAATTGAACCCGGGGTAGGTGATTGAGCACTGGTTGGTTGATAACAACCAAATACGTCTCTCAAATAATCATCTTTCATCCTAGCAATTTAACTCTAATTCTAGCGTTTAAAAATTATGGCATTTGACAATCCCTACTGGTTGGATTTTATATAGAATTGATTAGAAGAATGACATCAGACGCGTGTAAAAAGAACATGTGTGTGCAGCATTTAACGCTTTTTTTGTTATTTGTGGCATAATGCAGTTCTTTGCTAGACGTTACCTTTAAACATACTAAACACATCGTTATCAAACAAGATTGTGCATTCAAAATTTTTTTTGCTATAAGTTTTAATTTAATGAGCAAATGCTAGTGCGAGTTTCGCTTTTGAAAATAACTATTTAGGTTGGGTTTAAATGGCAATATTTCATTTGACATTATTTGGCGTTAACTTTTAACGCATTAAACGCATCCCAGATCGCCTTATTTCCCGGTTGCCACAGTGGTAGTTTATTTTAATAGGGCATAATTACGCAGCAAATCATTTTAACATACTATTTGTCCTCAAAACGTGTGCGTGATGGCCAGAAACGTAGACCATGTCTTCGCTTCGTTCACTAATATTTTGTTTTTGAAATCCCAGTCGAAGCATAAACCTCATCAAATTATGTGTTGTTAGCAATTTTAATAATTTTGTGCCTGCAAGCAAACAACTAGTGTTTCCGTTTAACAAACTTGAAAGTTGCTGAAAAATTCACATCTACGGAAAACATTTCTTGTGGGGTAACCTTATTTTAATGCGTGGCATAAGCAGATTCAGTGGTCACCAACAGGTAATTCACAAAATTGGGTTGCCATAGCCATGATCAACAAACAAAGACAAATCTGGGGACAAACAAAAGGTCTTTTGCAGGTAACTAATTTGTTAGATCACAAAAAAATTATTTGATTATTTTACAAATGCTTAGCCTACAAAAACGGACAAGTATGATCGTAATTAACGTAAAAATTTTCTATTTTTGTTGGGTTTTATTTGAAAAAGTGTCTTTTTGATAGAATTAGTTAAAAATCATGCAACGTGAGGTTAATTGATCGACCCAGTGCAATTCAAGGGATGTGTCGCAATATACTTTCACCTTAACAATATATTATTTAAAATTACGTAAAATGCTAAGGTTTGACTGAGAGTCAACCATCATAACAAACTGACAGAGAGCGAGTTATGATCGAAGGATATCCAGTGAAGCTGGACCGGAGGTGACTGTGAAACCTAGTGCCCTTTCTTTCAAAATATATTTGACCTAACTTGTAAAAAGGCAGACAGTTATAGGGGTGTAATATTGATTGGTATTTTGTTAAGATGAACTACCTTGCAGAGACTAAAACTGATTTCAATACGGACAAACGCACTCACCTGAATTTCATTTGCGAACCCATGTTAGTCCTTAAATTTTTCTTCAAACTACTTGTACAATTTTGATTTCGTTGTAAGCTGCATTGACTTTTTGTTAAACTAAGTACAAACTTTTGTACTTCATTTGATGCATTATAGTCTATAATTTGGTGGTAGTTGATGTAAATGATGCATATGAGGCTACCTCCTACTGATTTAGCACCGTTTTATTAGCACTGCACAGCGTTAGTCGCAAACCAGAAGCACTTTAGCGGTCCACAACATGACTGCCCTGAAATTGTCTACCCGTTTTAGTAGTGTAGCACAGCATATCGACTGTCCCTACTGTGCAATATTCATAATCATTATATTATTGGTCGGAAATTTAATTTGGCAGAGGGCAGTCCAATTTTATGTTAATAGCTGCCAACCAGAATAGTGAATTTGCTAAAGGGAAATTAAACCAGATTATTTACGATGCCACCAATGTCGTGGCGTGGATTGGGTTTATTCACTTTAATCAAAATGCCAATTTAACATCTCATCAGAGCGAATACGGGCATTGTTGCAATTTTTTTAAAAATGACATGGGTATGCTTAAGCCACTGACCTCTCCTCCACTTCTGAATGTGTTTGTCAATGGTCTAATTGTTAGATTATATAAAAACATACAATATTTTAATTTTGTGTTTTTTTATATTTCCACCTACAAACCAAATATTTGTTTTTTTTTGAAAAAACGGTAGTTGGCCACCAGCACAACCTTATAGGGCCATCGTACATGTATATCATTGGAAATCTTTCAAGATTCCAATCTTTAAAAACGTGAGCGGGCAAATTACGTGAGGTTAATAATAATCAAGTTCTAAGCTATCCCTTTTTTCAGGATTGTTGGTTGCTTGTTTTTCACCGTCTCCTATTTTCTGCCGCTTTCGATTGGATGACGTGGCGTAAAATCGGTAACCAGCTGAAATTTCTTAAACCGTACCGCCAATACGTTTGTTGCTTCCTAAGCAGTAAATCGAAAATGCTAACTCACAGAAAAAAATGAATAATGTAAATAAAAAAGCATATAAAAATGCAATAAATAAAATAAGCACTTCATTGCTTGTTACACATTTTAAGACAAAAAATAAGTGTTCGTAAAAATCTAATTTATTAAATATTTAATGGTTTAGTCAGCGTCTTTTTTAATGGGGTTTTGCATCAATAACTGTCTAGGTTTCATAAATCTCCCAGAATGCGCAAAATCAGAATTCATGAAACCTGAGCTCAAATCGATGAAACTGATTTAGATATGATGTGAATTTACGGGTGGATTTGGGGTAAAACAAAAACTATTTCTTATCCCCTACGTAAACAAAAATCCAAGCTAATGAGTTAGTTTTAATTCAGCACTCCAGTGTTTTAAACCAGACAGATAAGTTTCAGCTGCTTTGACTTCGGGTGTTCCAAAATTAAAAACAGTGGGTACAGGCTTCGCGTAGAGAAATTTCAACTCAACGTGGCTTTGATGTAGAGTGATTATTATTTTACGGATTACCCAATCGCACTCTTCTATAAAATAAAAGAATTGGGATTGTTATTTAGAACTTTACAATATAGTTGTGTGTAGACTAAAATTAGATGAACAAATTTAAAGATGTAATTTAAGGTTCGCGACTGAAATCATTCCGAAGCTTTCTTTGAGCTCGAAGATCTACTTAAGGAGAAATAATTTTGCAGTCTTTAGGATGCATAATAGCGAATGGCATGTCTGCGTAAGCTACACAGCCTCTCGGAATAGCAGATTTTATGATGGCAGCTGAATTCCAACAAGATAAAAGCTTCTAAAGTATGGGAATCACTTTGTACTGTTCTTGGTGCCAACGTTATATACTTTGAACCGCGTAAATGTGAATATAAAAGTTTCGGAAGCAATAATTTTGACCTGAAAAATTGTAGATGCCAAATTGCAAGCTGAACCAGGATATCGGCTTGAAGAATGATCTCCTGTGTGACCAATCAAACTGCTGCTATGTTGTAACCAGTGATTGGATAGTTAAAATAATTACAAAGTGGATATTCATAATTGCAATTTGATGTCCACCATGAGCTCGACAGGTTAATTTAGTGTCTGCCAGTTGATTAGTGAAGTTCTTTGTTTACGGCAATGTCTTCTTATTGAAAATGAAATGGCAGTTTACCCAGCTTGGTCTACTAACATAGCTTACATTAGAACTGTCAAAGTAGTCCTATCTTCGGTAGTCATTTAAGGAAACTTCGATGTAAGCCGTTATATCGCTGTCAGACGCTGTATATACGGTTGCCACATATCTTCTCATCCCAGTGAAATTACGCTCTGGTATCAACTGCACCATGCCGCCACCACATCTACATTGCCCTGTTCTTGATGGCTTGCATTCAACACTAAAGACACCAATATGCCGGTTCGGGATCCATGTAAAGAAGCACTTGTTTGAGAACGGTGGTGTGATATATCGTTGACGCCGGTCACCGTCGTAAACTCCTACATGACGCATAACCGCCTACTGACAAAGTTTGAGTACAATGCTTGCATGATTGTAGAAAATAGCGGAATTTGAGAGGCTGCTTGTGTAGCGGGAACAGTTGCTTAGGCGACAAGCAGATTTTGCTGACTAGTTGGCGATCACCGAAAAGGAAGTTGCCGCAAGCATACACCAACTATCGAACCCACAATCACCTGAGAGCATCAAACAGGGGAGTGTAGAAGCTGACGCAGAATGGATGCATCACATTCCTCGCATACAAGTACGTTCACGTGACTTGAGAGGCCAGTGCAAGTTGCGGGTCTTTGCCAACGAGGCCAAATTGCCTTGAATTTCTGTTTGGTATCTCGAACCAGAACTGGTGAAGAAGAAGAAGAGGGAGGTGAAGGAACTGGAGAGCAGGTATGTTCAGATGCCTTCGCTGAGTGCCAGGCGCTTTCAGAAGCCACGAATCGATTGAGAGATGACAACGTCGCATCTGGATTATAGGAGCATGTTGGGTTCCTGAACGACATCCAGCAGCTGCAGGAGAGCCTCAATCAGACGAATAGAGGTCTTGAGGAGTGGATTTCGTGCGCCAGAACAGTGGCTAAGGAGGCGCACCACAGCGGAGACCGGCCGAGTTTGGCCGAGGGAGCTGGAATGCTGGAGCAGTCGAGGCGCCTCGTCCACCGACTGGCAGCCATGGTGTTGAGCAGGCACCAAAATCGAGTGCAGTCGGCCCTAGCAGGGAGTGCAGAGGAGATGCGTCAGCCACTAGGTGGCTGCACTAATCCCATCGGAGCAATAGCCCGAGGTAGGTGCAATAAGGAGGTTTGAGGATGCGCAGATGGCATACGAGAGGATATGCCAGTCGACAGACATGGTAAGTAAGTAATCAAGCACGGGAAGAGGAGTTGTGAGGCCTGCAGACGGTTAGGAGTGGAGTGAGCCATGAAGTGGGGATCGGAAAAGAGGTGGAAGTCACCGCACGCCCACTGGGCCGCCCGACGCCCACCATTCACAGGCGCTATCCTGCTACTGCACCACGTGGGGGCTTTTGGCTGCTGAGTTTCCTCCCTGGCCCGGTTCGCCCCTCCTTAGACGACCTGGAGGCCACAAGTCTTCCGACATGACCCCCATATCGACGCCGTGCTTAGCACGGACGCCCGATCGACATGCGCGAACGCAGGGCGGGACTCCCAGAAACGACGGTTTCCGCCACCAGGCCTCCAAGTAGCTAGATTACAGGCGCACGCCACCACGCCCAGCCGCTGGTACGTGCCAACCCACCTCGCCACACACCCTCCGCATTGCCTACTTTCTCGCCTCTCCACTCTCGTCTACTACATCACCACGAGTAGTCTGTGTTGCCTCTTCTCACTACTCCACGCACCCTCTCCTTTCAGCTCAGATCCGACCAACACGCGGCCAATTGGCACCATTTCTGCCGTCTCCCAAGACGCGTTAAAAACTTCTTCCACTACGAAACCCCCAGCTTTCGCCGCATCTTTCCCACACACCACTTTGACGATACTGCCACCAAATTGGACATGGCAGTCTCAACACGTCAACAGCTTGAGAATCTAGAGAGGAGGTTGAATATCGCCGTCAAATTGTGAGTTACCCACACTTCTTGAATTCGTCGCCTCACTCACGTCTACAAAGTACCCTCCCTCACTCCCTCTCTTCCTCTCTCCACCTCCGTCTATCCACCCATCACTAGCACTCGCATACCTCCCTATTGTGAACGTTGTGGCTACTTACTGCTTGAACTTCAGCCAGTACGCATCGTATGCAAATACCTCGAGGTATGCGGGGAACAATAATAACCCCCCACCCTCCTCGCAACCAAGTACTCATTCATAGCGATAACAGCCCTAACTGCACTCCAATTTGCACCGTTACAGCCTCCAGCCAGACGAGAATCCGACAACGCCACCGCATGCAGCAGTTGACCGTCGAGAAGCGGAGAACATTGTCGTAAAATACGACCCGTCCATAGTGGTTCGTGTCCACGAGGTGTTTACTGCAATGGACAGAATCGCAGCCAAGTTGAGGCCTTCTAAGCTCCTTCGTTGTCATAACCAAGACCACGAGAAGGGCTAGAAGCAGTAGTAGCAGTAGTTGTGCTAGTAGAAAGAGATGAGTGGTAATTATGTGAATTACATGAGCATTTTAGTCTCATTTAGCAACATATCCACTACTGCATCGTCGGGGGTATAGGGCGGTTCACAGTGCTTCAGCACACAGAACCACTTCCGGCTGGGTGGGTGACATTGGTTTCGACGAGATGAAGAAACCACTCACATTTGGCTTCGACTACTCCTTTCTTCATTTTATATTCGGATATCCCAATCGCCTGCATTGCCAAAATTGTCTGGTTCGCTTGTAGCTTGGTTGTCGCTCCCCTCCATAATGCAAGCCTGTCGTGGTGGCTTAGACGTGCAACAGAGGCAAATAAGAAAAGGGATGAGTCATTGGTCCACTCGGGCACTCATGTGCGCACCACTCACAGCGGAGCCTCAACTCCCCCTCATTCACACGGATATTTATCTTAGATTATCCTCACACCCAGGTCTCGATTTCAACGCATGTATGGCTCACACATCCGGGGTAGAAATATACACCCGCTAATCCCACAGACGACACAACGACACCAACGTGGTGGAGCCCTGAGGTAAACGGTTGTGTCCACGTCCTTTTGGGGTCTTTTTATTCATCGCGAGGATCAGGGAAGCGTAATCGGGCCAGGGTCAATTCCGTGGCCCTGGCGTGGTTCAAACCACATGCTGGGGCTTACAGCACCATTTTCAAAGTGAATAAATACCTTTCATTGGGCCTTACATAAAACATTTCGCAAATTAACACACTTTAGCAAGTCCGAATATTAGTTTTATACAGTGCGATCGCCACTGCTCCTATACACTCGATATTTAAGAAAGGTATCTTTAAAATTGCAGGTCAAACCACTAATTCAGTTATATGAAGTTTATTCCTGATTTTAGGCATATTTGTAACATGCTTGGGGCCTAACGAAATCGTGTTTTATTTCTAAATAACTCATTTTGTCAAGAAAAAAAAATTGCAGACAAGGTGCCTATGTTCAATCCAGTGACTTTGTGTTCATGCCTATCAATAAAACCTGAATTTACTCGTGATATATAACACAGACGAAAATGTGCTTTAACTAACAGAAATTAATCATATGCATTAATACGGACAGGACATTTAGCATTAGCTGGATTCACATCTATAGTGATGTCGAATCTTAAAAGAATGCCAAGCTGAAGGGACTAGTGTCCAGAACGTGGTGTTTGAACGTATCAAAATATTACGGGATTTGAAACGCACAGTTAGTCAAACTTTATTCTGTTAATTTCTCGTATTCAAACGATTATTAATGAGCACGTAACACCACAATAAACACTAAGGTTTAATATAATCATGAATCAGCATGAGTACTGGAACAAAATTCCTGGCTGTTCAGTTCTGCAATCACATAAATTAACTGTGACAAAAATAAGAATGAGTTTGCACACCACACGAACAATTGGGGATATTGAAGTTTGTGTAGCCGGGGTACTACAAATGTCTGATGTACTTTTTTTTAATAATCAGTTAGGAGCAAAATTTATAATGTGGCTGTGCCCATTAGAGGCAATTTGCCAATGTTACAAATCCACAGCAAGTCAATGCTTGGAGGTAGGACGCTTATTTTGCTAGAGGCTTTTTCTTTTCTTAATTATTACTGCAAAACATCGTTAATATCTCTTACCTGAGAACCTCGCTTTATCAAAGTAAAGGAACCATTCACCTTCGACATTAAAAACACAAGAATTTGTTGTGATTCAAATGAATACAGTCACGCTCTGCTTACCTGATCCACTTTCACGAATTTTACGAATGCAGACGTTTTAGAAGGTGCATTCTCTAAAATTTTATACGAAAATGCATCAATTTGTGTAATTACGCAGAGGCATTAAATCAAAATCAACAATATAATTCATGAAATGCTAAGCGAGGAAATCAGCAGTTGATTAGAATTGAATTAATTTGTCCCAAATCGTTAACGACAAACAGTTTTAAATAGTACTACAATGTCAGAACAAACGTTTGTAGTGGCTTATCGTCTAAGCACTACCTTACAACCCTATAGTTAACAGCCCAAGACAACCCGAGAATGGAGAGAAGGGAGGCGACAGTGGACACGACCGTTTATTAGCGTCACGCCAGCCCAGTGTGTCTTAGTGTGTGGATGAGTGAACGGATGACAGGCATCGGATACAGTAACCACTGAAAAAGGGGATGAGTCATTGTCACCGTCAGGTCAGTAACCATGGTTCACTCAGGCGCGATCGCTGTTAATCCGCTACACGTTCATAATATTATATTGGGTAGACTAATTGCAGTGATGTACCTTTGGCATCTGCAAAATGCAGGTGGAAATATTGCTTAATATATTGTAGATCTATTGCTTACGGTTAAGAAATGGTGAATCTGCAGATATTTAATGAATGTTGGAGAATTCAAAACTGATTACAAACCTCCCAACAAGGTAAAGCTTAAGACAGCATAAACGGAAATCAACAAATTTTTAATAAACTGTTGCTCATTTTTCCTTATGTCGACTAAAAAATGACAGAAAATACCCAGATTTATACTAAAGCACAATAATAATAATAATTAGCACATGCATTTTAAAGAATAAAATTTTGACAGCTGACAGCCGTTGAAATATAACAGTGCACCGGGTCGTCTGGGTGCCCTGGGCACAATTTGGCAATTTCACTGTGGCATCAGATAAAGTGCCACACACTCCACAGTACAATAGCAAACACAAAAGCTATTTTTAAAGGTCATCTGCATCATAGAAGTTGGCAAAATAAGTGATGTTTACCATTCTTCCTGCCTGGAATTTGCCTGTCTACATCGAGATTATTCTGCAAGCAGAACCACAACCAAATTTGTCCAAGATGTATCTAGTACTGTAAATATAATGCAACTTAGGTTACAAACAAAGTTTTGCTGTAATAAATTAAGTAATACACGCTGCTCATCTCACCAGCAGTGGCGTCAGGAAGCATGTGCGCTTGAGGAGTGATTGGCAAATACCAATAATAAATCCTCAGATGCAAATCTAAATTACAAATAACATGCAGTACAGTTTAGAATAGTATTGCTATACAACCCTTATCATCGATGGTAGTTAAAAGGTAGCGGACGTGTTTCCTCAACTAGCAGTAACCCAAAACCGCAATTCGAATGACCACTCAATCTCAGAAATTGACCTTGACAGTATTCAGAGAGGATTCTCTACATGAATGTTATAAATTTTGATTTGCAAATATTTAAGCTCAGTGTAGTATGATTAAGCATGCAAACTTTACTGTAAGATGTCTTTTTTTCCTTAAATAAATATAAAGATTTAATCCTTAGTTCCATTTGGAAGGCCAAGGTTTGAAAAGAACGGTTTTCAAGAATATATGTGTCTGTATTCACTTTTAGTGCCGCATAAAACAAATCCTATTTCATTTAAAATCCACTGAGGGATATTATTAGTTAAACATCCGAATAAAATTGTTTTATGCTCGTTGGACAAGCTCTGTTAAGTGCATTGCCTTTCACCTCCAATCGGCATGCTGATAGACATAAATATTTACTGATTTAAGTAGTATTTATGTTACATTGGTGCAAAGTGCCACAATTTTTTCATTATCCCCGTGCAGTTGCACGACAGGGCAAACACGCAACAGGGGGTAATTCAACTTAGTATTGCCACCAGTTAATATCAAAATAACATGCAACACCCAAGAAAGATGTCATTAGGAATTTCAAAGTAAATCAACTCTAGACTCACAACCCTAAAACCAAACTATTTGCAATCACAGTCACTTTGTTCAAAACTAAATGAACTTGCTCACAATGTGATCATGCATCGTTCCCGATCAAGCTACAATTTCCGTTGCAGAATACCCGATTTCTACATGAAACACTGAAATTACAACCACAAGGTAATGCTATCCATCAAGCTCAAATTCATCTACACAGTCACCACCACACGTAATAAAGCAATTTGTTTCTATCATTGTTCCTCGGTGGCAGCTTATCTTCAAAGTAAGTCAATTAAACCCACAAAGGCATGTAATTGGCTTAGCTCGACTTGATCTAATGTCTGCAGGGTTGTGTGACCCTATACTCGAAAATATTGCAGAATAGTCAAACACACGTGTGAAGAAGATTGGTGCAACGGAATTGGCTCTACTGACCAATCAAAAGCCATTACAGTAGGTCAGACGTCGTTCACTCGAGTCCACCGTAGAATACCCGAGCCGAAGTATGAATAACACTGGTGCAACAGAACAGGCTTTATTGACCAATCACAAGCCAGAACCACACGTCAGGAGCCTTCCATCCCAGTCCACTACGCTAGCCACGCCGCTCATTATATACTGCACCTCATTTGTGTCTTTCTCTGGTTGGCTGCTTATATTCCTTGCATGACATTAGAACACAGAGAGACCCAGGATTGACTAAATCCAGTTTCCAATATGTCTGCGCCCTCAGACGTCGACACACCACCACAGAGGCTGCGCAGCTGCATACATACTTGCCCCTATCCACCCTTGTCTTTCATTAGCAAGAAACCTACCTCGTAGGCCATCCAAATGCACATCGATGGAGGATTGGCTAAGCTCAGCATGGTCCAACATGTCTGCGCCCTATCACGCCATCACAGCATGTTATTGATAAAAAAGACATCAATGATGGACGAATTGCTTGACAAAACATATCGGTTTTTTAGCGAGTCCCGTTTGAAATTTAGCGCACAAATGTGCTCGAACTAAGCCAGGCATCTCTGTTTGCGTCCTCGTTTAAAATATCTAGATTGCAGTTATGGATTGATTGGGGTCTGCGGAATAGTCTTAATGAAGCCGATTGCCCCACACTTATTTCATGAACTCAGTTGATAAACAAAGGAGACTTCCAGTCCTCTTCTTTGATGATCATTCCCATACAACGACGGCAATAATTATTTCCGTGGATAACAGAACATTGTCAGCAAGAAAGTGACCCGAACTCAAGAACTCGACTACTGCAGAATCAACAGTACGCAGAAATCACAACGGTTGATGATCACACAATAATTCTTTAAATAGCCGATACAATCAATAGGCACCTAACTTTTCGAGATAATACACAGGCTAGTGGGTTAAAATTAGTACGAAAATGGCTACGCAGTAGTCCGCACATGCGTTACTGCTGCAGCAGATCAAACAAGCTCCAGTCGTTTGTCTTCGTCCATTTCGAAGTCTCCTTTGGACCGAGAACAGCTCGGCCGAGTGCAACTGACTGCTCTAATTGGTGCTTCAACTGTTCAGCCGCCTTTTTAACTGCTGCTTCGTCTACAGAGAAGAGAAGCTCTCTGTGAGCCTGGCGTTTCTCATCGTCGATGCCCGTCAAAAAGGCCTGCAGGCCACGCGAACCGGCAGAAACTGGGCAGTCCAACTAAAAGGAAGTCGAAACACTTTGTGAGCAAACAACGACACAAGGGCCTAACGTCTACTTCTCAAATGCATCGTAAGAGACA